CAAAAACGGTAGCAGTCGCTGAAGGCGGCTGTGTGACCATTGTTCACTTATAAGCCGTTTATATGGCAGTTTGGTACAATTCGTGGCTGAATACCCCCTGTCTCAGTGAACTCGGGTCTGGGGCCGTGGGCCAATCGCCAAACCATTAGAGCACTGACTCAGATCGCTGGTCTTTCCGCCAACGGCTTAGTGTGTGTCCTTTGACAACTGAAAGTAGCCTAAAACGGGCTATTCTAGTCTTTCCTGCCTTTGATAATAATTCCCGATTATTGGTCGCCCAGCTCCACGCGGAAAGACAGAACTCCGCGTAGAAGCAATCGGTCTTTGACTTGCAGCCAAAAGTGGTACGGCGTCGGTTGTCTTCTGACTCTCGATTCCACAGACCTTGAGTGCATATAAAGGCGATACTTTCTTTCTCCGAGTAGTTGAAAGTTTTCCTCCAGAGAACAGGCTGAACCGGCAGGTGAATATACTGCTATTAAGGACTTTTTCGAGTGTAAGGGTTGGGGGTTACTTCTAGTGTTTTGTTGAAATGCTACACATACCGCCAAGTAACTGTCATGCTGAGGTAGGACTGGTCCACATTGGCTGTCTTCATTTGACGCCCTACCGGTAGACTGCTGAGAGTAGATCTAAAGAGGTAGTAATAAAGACACGCCGCATGGTCGGGGCGCTGTCCAGCAGACATGTTACGAAGTCGGGGGGTAACATTTTGCCGGGGAGTCATTTAAGCCAAAAGTAGTCCCTGTTGTTATTCTAGCGGTCCTGCAAATCTGAGACTCAGGAGAAACGTGTTATGGCAAAGTAGCACGCCGTGAGGTAGTCGGCTGTTCGCGTTCAGGGAGTCTTCGCCCATGTATGGTTCATCCCCCCTGCCCGCGTCATCCTCGTCCTCTCTGCCGCCGAATAACTCTGTGAATTCTTCTGCACCACCACTTCCATCCTCCTCTGCCTCCTCCTCCTCCTCCTCCTCCTCCTCCTCCTCCTCCTCCTCATCCTCCTCCTCCTCCTCCACCACCACCACCACTGCCCCAACGGCGGCCGCTCAGGCAGCCGTCTCGCACATCTTCGACCGCGACACAACAACCGGCACCACCCCCGCCTCTCCTGACTCCAGCAATGAGAATCAGGACTACACCTGTCCTCACTGCGACCGCACCTTCACCTCACACATCGGCCTGGTCGGTCACTTGCGAATCCATCGCACAGAGACCGGCGAACCAGTGCCTGAAGCACCAACCTACACCCACCGCACTCGCCTCCACTGCCCACACTGCCCTCGCACCTTCAGGCATCGCATGGGCTTTTTCGGCCACATGCGCATCCACGACGACCTGCGGTAGACAACCGCCGGCTACGCCGCACCACAACACCCTCCCTACCTCCCTCCTCCACCACCACCAACACACATCAACACTTACCCACCGCATGCACCAACTGCCACCTTCCACGCAAGTGGGAAGTGTGCATCTCGACTCGGTTCCCACGCGGCTTCGGCTGTACGGGTGATTTGAGTCCGAGACTATCCCGACACTTCAAGTGTCGTGGATAGGAAGGTTGCTGATTGGTGCCCGCTCTCGGTTCACGCAGTTCGTCGCGTTGTGTGTGTGTGCTGTGTGGAGTGGCGGACTGGTGGACCGGGAACGGGCTGAAGCAGTACCTTCCACGGCCCTCTCACGCAAGTGCGAGACACGCCGTTCAACCCCCGTTGTGTGAAATCCTGGTGTTTGTGTGTGTATGGGGGGTCAGGTCGTGCTGTGGCGCGCGCAGTCACGGTCAGTCGACCGTGGCAGCCACCGCGCCCATCCACCACTCCAGTTTGCCGACCGGCTCGGACGGCGGCTAGAGTGTGGGAATGGGAAAGGAGAGTGAGGTCGACGACTCAGCGCATTTTCCTCACTATAAACAATCTGACGCG